GGACAGCAAAAGGCATCTCAGCTGGCATGTAGTAATATATTGATGAGTGACTTTGACAAGGAAGAGAAAAGGAAAGTCAGGTCTAGTATGATGTACATACTATAACTGGGTAATACAGGCCAACCACCTTTATTAATTCTTATTTATATTCCTGTAGCCCTTCAGAACTCCTGATCCTATTGATGCCAGTGCTGTGTAAAGAGAGTAGAAATACACAGTCCAATTTACTGATGAGTTTACCATTCCCGTAGAGCAAATACAATGGGAAACAAGGAGGAATTATGTAGGGTAGTAGTAGTCATCTTGGCATACTAGAATCTGACATACCTTCACTGATTTTGCTAGGCTTTGTAGTAAGTAAAATCCTAAACAAAGAAGGGGAAGGTTTTAAAAGAAAAATATATATTAGATTTATATGTTTCTTGGGAGCTTTTACTAAGTAAATAGGTGATGCGAAGAATCTTGTCTGAAAGATCTTGTTAGAACTGAAATCCCTGAGGAGTCATAAAATACTGCAACTGAGGGCAAATATTCTGTATATGATGCCATAGAGAAGGGACTACATCAACACAGAGCAGAGTAACATTTTAAGAATGACAGGCAAAGAAAATAACCATTGCAGCAATGTCTGATGTGTCTAAGACATAGTTTGCTTTGTTAAAGCATTTGAAAGAAGGCTTGCAATAATTCAGAACTAAGTGCCAAGAGGAGAGGCTGTGCAGAAAATAGGGAAAGTTGCAATTTATGACACCTGTAAGTAAAATGAAAGACAACACCAAGTAATAGTCATTTTTTTTCTGAGAGTCACGTTTAAGTTAAATTCATGTCATGTTCAGTTGCTAAATTTAAAGTATAATTTAAAATACAATTAATTTCATCTTTCTTCTCTTTCACTTTTCAAATAACATGGGCTTGACATTAATGCCTGATGACATTATTTTTTCCCCCTCAATTTAATCCATCCTTCCATTCATTTTTTAGGTGTATCATTTAGATTTATGTAACAGAGAAAATTATTATCCTACTACTGTTTAAAAACTGCCTAACCATATATGAGTAAAATGCCAACATACACTTCCACTTACATTTCTATCAGGGAAACTCACTTTGTATTCTAGGCATCAAAGAGGGCTAGAGAGGAGAATGGCTTTCACAGACTTGCATACCTGCATGAGCATTTGAACTTTAGGTGTCATTCTTTGTCCTTAACAGGAGCACCATATTTAGAATTAAACATACAAAGAATGTCCTCAAGTCGCTTGCAGTCACATCAAATTGCTTTCATAAGGGACAATGGCTAAATAGATTGATAATCAAGACAAGTTCTGTCCTGTGTAAGTAGTTGTGAACCCGATGCTAAAGGTTGTACTGCTCATAAGTGCAAATTCTACAATTGCCATCAGAGATCTGATGCCACTGTGAAGTCCAGAGTTTGTTGATTTGCTCAGGTGGAAGACTGTGGATATGTTTATTTTCAGACTTCTTTCTTTTACTGTGGACAAATATGCTACACTTCATATCAAGCAAGAAATACTGTGTGTTCAGGATTAAATTAATGTGCTTCATCTTTGATCCTTGCAAACAGGAAATAAGCATTGCTCCGCTCATCAGTGGAGTCCTAATCTTGCCTATTCTTCAATCTGTGATCTTTAAGAGCTTCTCATGCTTTAGTAGATAATTTCATTCAGCTTGTACGTGCCTTCTGGAAAACAGAAGAATTCAGGTATCAGAATCAGCTTTTAAAAACAGTGGTTGCTGGCAAATACTTGATCTTAGAGTACTTGAACACCATCAAATTAATGAATGGCTCATTCTGTTATTACCTGTTTCCACTAAGTGGAGCAGATGAACAACCTTGGCTTGATCAATTTGCTTACACTGAGTGTGTTGTAATATTCTGTCCTAAGTGCCCTTAAAACCAGGCTGCTTACCAAGCCAAAACACACTGTGATAACTCTGTAATGCAGGAGGTGGTCAGGCTGCTGATTAAGGAGTGTGAATTCCAGATAGAATTGATTAATGCTTTGATACCTGAAAATATATTTGGTCCTGCCTTTTTAATATTCTTCATTCTTACATATAGTTCTCCTGAACAAGAGCTTGAAGCAAAGATTTATTTTATTATTTACTTCAAAACTGGATAAAAATAATGATGTTGAAAGTTAATACAGTAACCAAATATAAGACTTTGTAGAATTTTATTCTCTAAAGAACCCCTCCTGCAGATGAAATAATTATTAGTGCTTTTACTTAGTTTGAGCAATTTTAATAAATATTTATTTATAAATATTTACTAATAAATAAATATTTATTAATAAATAAATAACAATGCTACAATTTTTTAAGTAACTGTATTTCCTCCATTTAATTTCTGCCATTTTGAATAATTCTCACTTTATGAGTATTTTTAAGGATGCTGAGCTCTTTAGGGGAGCCATGTAATACTGCAGGTTGCTGTAACATGAAATATTAATTAGCATCATGTAGGTTAAGTGGAATTTTAGTCATTGTGGAAGCTGCTATGAATGATTATTTTTCCTTCACAGTACTGTGAAATGTAAACATGCAGGTAGTATAATACTTCCTGCTTCTGAAGAAACATTAGAAGAACTCATGTTCGTGTCCTGAGATCCCATCATGTACCACAAAACGAAGAGGTTTAAGTTTGAATTTAGGATACCTTACCATCACAATAAGCTGTTTTGGATATGAGGAAGATAGCAGTGCATATACACTGTAGAGGTGGTTGTCACAGCTCACCAGTGACAGTATTGTGACACCACAGGCAGTATATTTTATGTGAGACATAAAACTCCTACTTTTGACAGCATTTGGCCCTTACAGCTGCTGTGCCACATTGAAAATGCCTTAATCAGAAAGGCTGGAATGATTTTGCTTCAAAGCAAGCTCTTTTGCCTGCCACCATTCCTCTAGCCTTTTTGAGGGGGATTGGGAAAGAGTCATCTAGTATTTCTCTCCCCCAGTAAATTGGCTTAAATAGGTGGTTTTTTGCTAGTGGGGTCTGTATTGATAAGTTCATTTCCATTCTTTGAGCAGGCAGAACTCTGGTTATGTCATTAAATCAGCATCTGGCCCTGGTTTTCCTGACATACTGAACCAAAAGATGTCTGCTTTTATCTTCACTTCCTTGCTATTATATGGGGTAATTTATTAATTTATTTGCCTACAGAGAAGTCTTCTGCATAATAGCATTTACCTCAACAGGAAGAAGACTTAAAGAGCGCTGTCTGTTTTCTGGGGAGGTAGGATGTGTTAGAGCATCTTCTGCCTTGTCCTCTTCCCAGTGGAGGCTCAGTGGGCTTCTGAAGTGCATAGCCTTAAGCTGTGGCTGTATTCTTTCTCTTTAACTGTTAATGGGGTCTTGAGAAGGAGAAGAATTTATAGCACCATTTTGACTCATGGAGAGAGCAAAACTTCAAGTAAATTCCCAGTAATTCCATCATCACAAGACTGGACAACAGAGAGGTGGAGAAAAACAAAGGCTTAGTATTGAGAACAGGAAAGAAGCAAGAAATGCAGCAAACTTATGAGACGCTCATTTGAAGGAATGCTGAGAGCTGTTGAGGATGGAAGATGAGAACTAACTAGAGAAAATGAGAGGAGGGTTGGATGGATTTTTTGGAACAATCTACCAGAGAAATGGAAAAGTTATTAATTCAAGGCTTTCACAGAATTCATTGTATGCCTCAGTAAGTACACAGAGAGAAAAGATCCAGTTTTTTAAGGACTCTGTGTGGAAAAAGGTTTCCAATTAGGTAATTTATTTTGCAGTCTCTATGTTTTTAATAATGGATTTTGTATTTTGAAAGCTAAATTCTGAGATTTCTTCTGGATTTTTTGGAGAGGGTAAGGCAGTTTTAGATGTGGGGGATAGAGAATAAATTTATGGGAAAAATACAGAATAAGTAGAAGAAAGCTCTGTGAATCAAAATATGCTAAGCTTCAATGAGAAGCAATGAGAGATTGCTTTATATTGAAGAGTAACTGACACAAGTGAGTAAGAGCTAGATTGGAATGAACCTGCAAGTTAAATGTAGCTTTGTATATTTAATGAGATATTTTTACTTTATTTTAAAGAAACTGTAAGAATATTTTTATTAAAACAAAATATTAAAGCAGTAGAATTTATAAATAGTGTAAAGGTAATGATACCTCTAGATGTGTAAAACTGACACTGCTTATTACCTGGCTCATTTTAACCTCCTTTCTGTTTCACCTGCCCCATAAAGAAGCGTTTGTATTTGTGATGCTGATAAAGCCACTGTCATTCCAAAGAGACAGGCGCCTTCTGGAATTTGCCTGTTGTGCACATGCATGTCAATGTGTATACATGCATGTGCATACATATACACAGCATGAATTAGAAAATTGGTATTTTCTCTGTCCAAGTTTTGAAGATACGGTCCGGTGTATGTGTTCTATTTTATATGGTAATAAGATAAGCAGAAAAGATCACTGAAGAACTTAGAACAACAGGAAAATATACTAAAGTGAGTAAATAATAATTTTACTATTATTTTTAGGCCCTGAAGAAAATCCTAAGAAACTTTTTTTTTGTATGTGTGTGTGCTAAATACTAATCTAATCTTATTTCCTCTTTAGCAGTTGTTATAACCTTGAGAAAATTTTTAAGAACAGAGTACTCTGTTACTGGGTTTTAAAAGGTGTTTTTAATCACCCCCTTTGTTTATGCATTAGAAATGGGAAATGTTCAACCCCTGCAGGGGAAAAAAAACCAAACAACTGAACTTCTAAGTGATGCTGCTCACTAATTATTTTGGTGCGTTAATAGTTTACCAGCCTGTAAATACTGACTTGAATTAATACTCTGAAATGAAACAGCTGTAGTATGTTCACTGTATTTACCTGGGATCAATCACCTGATGCTTGCCATACTTCTACAGGAAAGGAGAAACTTCCTCTAAAAACCCTGCAAAATGCAGTAGTAACATCCTGGGGGTTTGTTTTATTGTTTTCAGGGTGCTGGGTGCACTGCACTGGTGGTAGCTGTGGTGGCAAGGAAGTTAGAACTTACCAAAGCTGAAAAACATGTGCATAATTTCATGATGGACACCCAGCTAACTAAAAGAGTAAGTCACACTTTATATTCACAACCGAAAAGGAATACTGTGTATTAATTTATTTCTACATTTGTGTTTAAGTAGTCTCCTGCTTGGTATCCTTGCTGAACTTTGTCATGGGTATTGTTTTGAAAGATTAGAAATTGGATGCCTTGAGTTTTCCTTTAAATTGAGGACAACTGCAAGTTGTCAGTAAATTTAAAGGATTTGTATAGAATATTGTGTAGAGGGCCCTTGTAACTGGAAGGTATTTGGTGTTAATTAGTTAATTAGCAGTTAAGTGCTGTGGAACTAGACTACTGCATTAAACCAAAAGCTTTTGCATGGCATATGAAAATATATTTTTTGTTGCTAAAATAGGTGAAATTACAGATAAAAACTAAAATTTCAACCTATGAGAGATATTCTTAAGAAAATAACATATGTTTTCATATGTTGCAACATATGAACAATAACAGTGAGGCAGAATTTCCAACTGCATTTTGTACACAACACATGGTTTATTTAGTGGCACACAGTTCTGAAGGACCCTGAAAGATATTTGTATATATTATTTTTAGAAGAAACTATTTTTCACAAAATAGGAGGCATTGGTGTTGAAATATTTTAAATGAAAGAAAATGCAGCAAACAAGGCAATACAAATCCTTTGCTGAAATAAAACAGGTCAGTGTTGAGGGAACAAGAAAAAGAGTAGTAACTGTACAGTGCACTCAACTTGTTCAGTCTTCATTATTGAGAAGAGCCAATGTGAAGAAAAAGGTGCTTACAGTCACAGCTCAGCAGAACTCAGCAGAGTTTCTCCTTAGTGGTGGGTGCCTGAGATGGAGACAGTCGTTCTGCTCCAGGCGAGGAGGAGGAGGAGGAGGAGGATGGCTGCCCCAGCACAGCTCCATGCAGCACTGCAGCGCTGCACTGCTGCGGGCCTTGTGTTGCAGAGAGCCCCGTCCTGTCCCCAAGGGCTGTGTTTCTCACAGCACTGCTCTGGCTGTGCTGGCTCTCATTTCTGTGCTGCTCACCACTAACAGCCTGTATCTCCTCTAAGGAGTCACAGCAGGGAGAGACTAAGGATGAGTGAGGAGAGAATTCCTATATAGGTATAAAGGGTGTCTGACAAGGTGTCTCTCTGTGCTTGTTGATTTACATTCCTATTGCAGTCAGTTAAGGTGTTGTTGATACTAGACCACAGGAAATAATTTGTCCTTTCATAACATAGTTACTTTTTTAGTGTTATCTGACAACTGAGCCCAAAATGTGTCTCAGAGATTGGCCAGATTTTGAGTCTAGTCTTTATTTATGCCTTTTGAAGTTTATTTTGTTCATCTATTCTTCATATAAATCTCAATGTTAGTCTAATACTTTATTAAACAAAGCTTTAAGCTTGTGAAACTCAAAGCACATGAAAAGTGAGCCAAGCAAACAAATCTAAGATGCACATCAGATCACAATTCATGCAGATGCTGGGGATCTTTCCTCAGCCATACTTTCCAGGAGTGCAAGGGCTACTTAGGAATTGTGAGGACGTCTCTAAACCATGGTTGTGCTTTCAGTGAAGACAGGACAAGGTTCTCCAACACTTACAGGTGCAAAGGGGGGAGGCTGTTGCTGGGCCAAGTTATTGCATGACATTCCTGCAATGTCTTAGCCATTGACTTAGCTCTGACACTGCAGTTACTGGCATGATGTAAAGCTGGAGAATAAAGATGAATAATTAGGACAATTTTTCTTTCCAAGTATCCTAGTCGTTCAGCCACTAATCAACATTGCATTCAAATTATTTGTATGTTTTTAAGCATTCTGAAAATTTTGGAGGGCCTAAAAAGGGAACTGTAGGTACTCTTTAACATTTTATGGAACGCCAAATTTAAAAAATAAATCAAAGCACTTTTTAAATAGAACTCTGCCCGCATTAATTGACAACATATTTTTTCATCTTCTTGGAGATGTTAAAAAAGAAACAAGTATAAAAACTAAATGCCACCCAAAACCAAAAAAATAAAAGAAAGGGACAAAGTGCTCAAACAGCTCTGAAACTTTAAAAGACTGTTAAATTGCCAAAAGAATTAAGAAGTGCTAACCATAGAATAAGAAAGAGAGAAATGTTATGGTCCTATTGAATACACTTAATTAACATACAGATAATGCATTAGTATTTCCTCACTGTAATTGGTATTGCCATAAACACCAAACAGTTTCAACTTTTTGAAGAGGGAAAATTATTCCTGGATGCAAAAATATTTGATCTGAACATCACATCTATATTAAAAGGAAACTGCTCGGCAGTCCCCTTTATCCAGTTGCTGCTTTCTTCCCTCAGTGCTTCAGCTACTTGAGGTACCCACTTCCCACAGTTAAGACAGCATTTCAAAAGCTTTAGGAAAAGTTAATAACAGAAAAGTAAAAACATAACATAGTACTACTTTTGTCAGCCTGGTGTTTTTCTTTTATTAAACAGGTGAAAAATGCAGCGGCCAATGTACTCAGGGAAACATGGTTAATTTATAAAAACACAAAGCTGGTTAAAAAAATAGACCATGCAAAAGTAAGGAAACATCAACGCAAATTCTTGCAAGCTATTCATCAGTAAGTATTATTTTGCTTTCTTTTTCCTCCCAAGGTGTTTTCTCTGTTAGTTTCCTTCTCTCTCAGTCACTCTTAGTCTCATTCTGCCCCCTCCCTCCTCTCCCCCCACCATTCCCTTCCCTTCAAGCTTGTTCTGGAGGTTGATTTTCTTTCAGAGTAAGACAAAGATAGCCATTTACTGTATTATCTATTTACAACAAAATAAGAAGGTACACTGGCAGTTTATGTCCGTATAAACTGGTGAATGTTTTTTAGAAGTTTCCCATACTTCTTGAATTATCTAAGACTATTTTTGTTCTATGCCACTGAGACTATCCTTTATTTTTATGCATTTTCTTCCAGGTAGAAAGATGTGAGCTACAATAGACAGAAGAAAATTTAAAAAAAAAAAAAATTTCTTTGTAGTAATGTTTTAATATTGTAAAGTCAGTACAATGTGATAGAAGAGAGTATCTATGTAGTGTTTAATGAACAGAATATTCATCAAGTATAATTTCATGGCCCACCAGCATTTAGCCTCTCTCCACTGTATATTCTCAGTGCATAAGATCAAATGTTGGTATGTCAGCTATGATCCTGGCCATCTATTCTAGAAAATGGGAGTGTATGCCAATAGTTGAGACCATTGAGCACCTCTGGCATTATTCAAATGAGTTCTTCCCCTCTACATGAGAGTCTGAAACAAGCCTGAGGTCTAAAACTGGTAGTAGGTTTAAGCTGTGCCATGGTTTTGCCAAACTATAAGTATTTATCTAAAATTTGCAGTATGTATTTGTCATAAAGCACATCCAAATGAGTAGAATTGCTCAATGGTCACTATTCCTGAACTACCTGAGGGGAAAAAAACCTCAGAGTTTTGTCCTCAGGAACCAGGGAATTTTGGTCCTAAGAACCATTTTGAGGAATGGTCAGGGTCTGTTTGTTCTATTTGTTATCCCCATTCAGCTGAGGCAGCCATCTGTACAGCCTATGAAGATAGTTCCAATGAGTTACAGAGAAGAAGGAGAGAAATTAGGTTTAGTTTCAAACTGATGGTTTCATAACTTTTGAGTGTAGGTCTGTGCCTGAGACAACCAGTGAAGTGATGTGAGAGGGGCATCCATGATGAAAAGAATATCTATGTAGCATCTTACAGGAAAGACAGGAAAGAAAGGCCAGGTTTACTCATTTCCTATTAGTAAATTTAGACTAACAATCATTCTCTCTTTCATAGCAATGTTTTAAAGCAGTAGGTAACTAAGCTTAAGCTATGAAGTATTCTGTAAACTTTGATTACTGTATTACATTTAGCAAATTTGCAGGTTTAAATGTTACTGAGTCATTGTGGAGATATTTTGAGGAATAAAAAGATAACAGAAGTTGAGGCATTTTTATGTGAATATAAAAAGCATATTTTTATATAGCAGTTTGGCCACCCTGCTTAGCTTAAAGGATTGGGAGGTGGAGGGGAGTGGAAGGGGTTCTGGGGAGAGGATAGCATGTCATGTGCATCCTTGCTGGACTTGAATCCTTGATTGAAAAGGTTGTTTCTTAACATTCTAACTTTACTATTTATTGTGTGTGTGTGTGTGTGTGTGTGTGTGTTGTGTGTCTGTGTGTGTATGAGCACATATGTTCAGAAAAGAATCTAAAAAGCACAGCAGGCTCGATCTCCAGCTTTTTTTATCAGTCAAGCTCAGAAGAGCTTTTCAGGATATAAAGTGTGTTCTGCATCTCCCTTAAAAATTAATTAATCAAGTGGAGGGGAGAAGGTGGCATCAGTAATTTTTTCCTAGGTGTGACAGCTAGATTGCACAGCTATCTTAATAATTTCTCTCTGTCTTTTACCACTTTGCACTACAGCCCCAAAACTTTTGTATTCAGGGAAAAAACCCCAAAAGATAATTTTTTCAATATGCTGAAGAATGCACCATAAATGAAAAGATTGCATCAGCAGTTTGCTTTCTTCCTGTAGCTGATTAGATGGATGCAAATTAATTTTCCATCCCTTTGCATCTTTGTACTTTTTCTCAAGTGACTTACAGTTTTCCATCTTTCTAGAGTCTTAAGTTTTGTTTAGTCCCCCTCCTTCATCTTCAACCATTTCACTGGAGACAAAAATAAAAAGACTGGGCTCTCTCAGGGCTAATTTAATAGAAGAAATGATCCCAGATCATGATAACAGTCATGGCCACAGCTCTGAAATGTGTTCAGGTGGTCTGAGTGTTCTGCTTCTCATGCAATTAGATAAGATGAAGGTGAAATCATAAAAAAACATTTTATGTATTGTATGAATAAGAAAATCTACAGTTGATAGTTAATGGGAAGGCTTGAAGATATTGCAGATTCCTACATCATGAATGCGAGTTAGATGACTCCTCAGGCAGCTACTGATCAAAAGTAGCAACGCCCTAGGACTTTCCACCTGCTGAATCGAGCCCACTGTGCTCATTTGGTCGTTTTAGTATATTTTACACTTTGTTTTCTTTTGTTTTGTCTTTTTTCAACATATGAAAATAGAGCTCGGAAGTAAGTTGTATAAGCTGTTCCTTTCTAAACTTGCAGAATTTACCACTGTCTGCATGCAAAAAATAGAGTTTTTATTTGTGAATTTCAGTGGTCTGATTGCTGCCATGGAAATGCGATCCAGAATCATGATCTTTTTCTGTGATAAGTGAAGTTCATAAAATCAAAATTTTATCTTGATGAATTATACTAAGAAAGTCTGTTGGTTTTCTTTAAATCCGGCTGCTGCAGCTAAAGACTTGCCATATCTATACGTTCTTACAGCCTGTGGTAGGTGTTGGGTTGGTTACTATGAAGAATTATCATGTTGTTGTCAACTGGTACTACAATAATAATGAACTTCCTGGAATTTTAAAATTAAAATACTGATTGTCAAACAGATGAGTCAATGAATCTTAAGAAAAGCAGAAAGCACATATTCTGCACATTATTTGAAAGAATGGTCACCAAAATGCTGGGGTTTTCATTCTCTAGTGAAATAATTTCCTTTGAATAATTGTTCTGACATTTTGATAATACAATTCTGTACCTTGGAGATTCCTTTTTTGCTTTAGAAAAACTCCACCTTGTAGCCTCTGAAAACACGACTCCTACCATCTGCATTTATGTTGTGCTCTGAAAGAAGCTTCCAGGGGAAGAAGAGCATATGGCATTCCAGTAACAATCTCCTGGAATGCCAGTTTTATGTGATCAGTTCATTTCTACCTTAACAGAGTTATTTCCATTTATATTTTAAAGATATTTTTAAATTATATTTCACTCTCCACAACTTACTTTCTCATACCGGTTAGCCTAGATATGAAAGGAAATGCTTGTCAACTAAAGAGATAAGGAAACTTTTTGGTTTTGGAATACCTTCAAGAGGGTTTTCTTTAGACCACCTTTCTAAGTAATACCATCACTGAGAAATGGACAGAGAATGCATTAGCAACCTACCTGTCACGAAAGGCTGCCAAACTCACTTCCATTTGACAGCTAACCAAATTCTTGTTTTGGTTGGCACTTGGCACACTGGTAGACTGAAGTGGTATCTTATCACAAATCTACAAACAACTCCTCTGGTAGTCAATCTGGAAAACATGGGGTTTGTATGAGAGAATGTATAAGAAGGGTCCTGTATCTTGCGAAAAATGTGCATAACCAACAATAATGCAGATAAGCATGCATCAAAGAAAAAATGTACCCTTGCTGCTTCTTTCATAGTTTTTCAATGCTATAGTTTAAATAGTAAATTTAAAATGTAATCATATTTAGATTCACAAATTATCCAAAAAAACCAAATGTATTGGCAAGCATGTTGGTTATTTAGCTGCTGGTCCGATGGAAGTTCTGTTTAAAGTAAGGAGAAACTCACTTATCACTGTATGTTCATCAGGTTCCGACACCTGCTAACCCAATCCATTTCCGACAGAACAGGGCTAATACCTGTATCTAGTCATGTAGGCATGGGAAGATTCTTGATTGCTACAACAATAATGACAAAAAACTGTTGTTCTATGTTTCTTCCTATATCTACTTGTCACGATACTGAGGCTTTGAGGAATGTTTTGGCTTTCTTTCATGTAGTCTGGATAAATTGTTATCTTCTTTATTGAATTCAACTTTGACCATCGCAAATGATATTCTCAAGGACATCACATTTCCTTGCTGTTTCCTTTTTTGCGGTGTTGAAGAAGCATGCTTCTCATTGTAGCAGGCACATGAAAGATTCTGACTCTACACAAAGTAGTTAAGGCATTGTCCATGCAGTGAATTGCTCTTGTAAATTTTGTGCATGCTCTCTAGAAATCCTAGTATGACCTCATACAAAAAAAAAATCTGACTTAAAATTCCACTTTTTAGATTAAGAAGTGTAAAAATGGAACAAAGGAAACTGAATGATCAAGCCAACACTTTGGTGGACCTGGCAAAGGTTAGTAGGCAGTTACTGTTTTTTCAGCATTCATCCTTTCAAAATGAACAGGTTTTTAGTGAAAATGTTAAGCATTATATGTGCAAATATTGTTAACAAGGTGTTATATATAGCAAATGAAAATATGTGTGTGTTTTGTGGTAGCACCTACATCTTGAACAAGTATCCTGATGAAAGTTTGAACATGCCATATTTATTTATTTTTTTTGTACATTTGAAAAAGACTTCACAATTGAGAGGCTGATCCTGAGAGCTCCTGAGCTGACTGCAGAGGTCATGGTAAATGCTGAACTGTGAGTGGGCCGTAGTGGTGTAGTGCTGTGAAGTAAGAAGACTTTGCTATGTGGTGATAGTGACTGTGCCATGACAGACCATAGTAAATAGCCTCTAGATTGGAGTTAGAGGTTCTGGATTCCTGTTCCTGGTGTCTTATGCAGCAGTAACTTTGGACAAGTAAATTTAGATCTGCATTTATTTAAGTTTTTATAATTAATAGTAGCTGCCTACTTTGCCAATATATCATAAGGCTTTTTAAATATTTTTAAACCATTTGAGTTGAGGTAAAAGAGGCTATTCGGGTGTAAGCTGCTTGTTTATTGCTGCTAGAATTTTTCATAAGTATGTAATAACTAGAAAGCTAGAGACCTGAGCTGATAGCATTTTGGACTTCCATTAGAACTTAATATTTAACAGTAACTGTGAGTTAATTTGAGGCTACATTAGAAACATTGATGGGCTCTTCTTAAGAGTTTCTTGTACACCTCTTCATTTACCTCAAAATCCTCCTTGATTTCAAGTGCATCAAAGCAAAGATTAAACTCTTCAGTGTTCATTCCCCTCTTGCTTTACAGAACCATGTGACAGCTTCAGGTGAAAATACAGTTCAGTCTAATGCTTCTGGCAACTTAATATACTATTTTGTGTAGACTACTTCACTTTCAAGGGTTATGCTAGCATCCTGAAACAGAAGGCAGAGCAATAGGTTATAACACACCTGATACTAAAGTGGTTTGCTTACACTTCAGGCAGTCATTCAATTAATTTTCCTTTCCTTTGGATGGTTCATAAATTTCAACTGATTTTTTCTACTGAATTACATCCAGTTTTGACTCCAGTTTAAATAATCTGAACCCTCAATCTATAAGAGGCAGACATTCAGCCATTATGTTTTAACCAAGTCTCTTTAAAACAACACATTTAAGATTACATTTTTACTGACCATTGTGCATTTTAAAGTACACTCTATATATTTTCTGTATTCAGCAGTGTTTTGTAGAGGGCCAGATAGATTGGAGAGTGCAAAAGTAAAAAAGCATAGAATTGAGTTTTTACTTCTTGAACTACTTTTCAAAAACAATCCACTCAACTCCTCTTACTGCCAATGCAAGAAAATCTACCAAGTTTAAGGAGCAAGCCAGTGAACAACATTTGTGCTCTGTAGAGTTCATTAGAAGAATGAAGGTATTTAAAACCAGAATCAAGAACAATTAAGGATGGAATACATCAGTGGAGCCTTCAGTCCCCTGGCGGCTTACACTGACTGTTCAAAAAGCTTAGCCTGGTACACTCCCAAACATCTGAATTTCCAAAAGGGGTCTGATCTTTAATTGATTTCAACTTCGACATCTAAAATAAATAGCTACTAAAAGCCATTAAGTTTCTGCTCAAGAAATCTAGTAGAAAGTTTAGTCTACTGTAATTTAATCTACAGGGGAAAATTATTTCACAAAACTAGATATTGTTATAATACTCATCTCCTGTTTTACAAACCCTTATACAGTTGTGCTACTTGTTACAGTACTTGTAAGGTCTCTCTAAACCTTTACTTACATCCTTCTACTTTCAGACTCAAAACATCATGTATGACATGATTTCTGACTTAAATGAAAGAAGTGAAGATTTTGAGAAGAGAATTGTTACTCTGGAAACTAAACTGGAAACTTTAATTGGTAGCATTCAAGCTCTTCCTGGACTGATTAGCCAGACAATCAGCCAGCAACAGAGGGAATTCCTCGAGGCTCAGATACAAAATTACGATAAGCATGTTGCCTACAGTGCTGAACGATCACGATCTTTGTCAAGAAGAAGGAGATCATCCTCCACAGCACCACCAACTTCATCAGAGAGTAGCTAGAAGAGAATAAGTTAACCGCAAAATAAAGACTTTTTGCCATCATATGGTCAATATTTTAGCTTTTATTGTAAAGCCCTATGGTTCTAGCCAGCGTTATCTAGGTTCTGATGTCAGAATCCTGGAAACCTGAACACATTTTAGGCCAAAATGAGTGAAAACTCCTCTTTTTTTTCCCCCTCCTCCTCTCAGATGCACAGTGAATGCACCTAGTATTGCTATATTAGATTGTTCTTCCTGTAATTTCACTTTTTATTCATGCACTTCAAACAAGCTTTACTACTACAATACATAATCTAATATAATAAAAATGTTAATTTCTGCACATAGTTACTTGATTACTTTGACCTAATTACCAAAAAAAAATCACAATCAAAAGACCTAATTATGAACTTTTAAGAAACTAAATCAAAGCTTAATAATTATTTCTAAGTATGAAAGCTAACTGTCTAAACTTTGCTTGCAGTGGAGGGGGAAAAAAACCAATATTAATCTAACAGTGTGCTGTGTATGTATAGTCATTTTAAAAGGTCATGAACGGCTTTGATTTCTGAAGTGATTAATTAAAAATATAGTTTATCCTAGAAAATAAATCTCAAAATAAGCTATGGGTTTTAAAAATATTCTGAGGGCTTTTATTTAACATGCATTGGTACACACACACATATAGATAATATATATATACATATGTATTTATGTATATAAAATTATTTATGTGATGCCCATAGCAATGATCTTTTAAACTGACTATTCGTAAAGCTACTGGCATGCAAAAAGCACAGGCAAAGTCCTGTTTTCTTATTCAGAGTCTTGTAACAATGCCAGGTATGTTTGTCCAAATCAAAAGCATCACTTTCACCCAGAAGTCTCCTAATAATGCTATTTGGGTTTTGAAAGTGTTAGGTTGCTACTTTCTCCACTCCTTTCTTTGTGTTTCTGGAGTGAATGACTGACACACAGACTTTGAGTACACACAGTTGTGTGGTGGCAGCACAGTATACATTATGTTTGGGCAGTCCCCGTGGTTCCTGCTATGCAGTTAAGCTTAGCAAAACACTTCTAGCAATATTTCCAAAATCTCCTGTAAAAAGCCAGCTGTAGACTGGAGTTACAACAGAAGGGTATCTATAGTACTTTATTTTCATGCATAAAAATAAGGTCTTCTACCTTATTAAAGGAAAAAAAAAAAAACCAAAAAAAAATTAAAAAAAAAAAAAAACAACAACAAAGAAATCACAAAGCATAATCACCAGTAGGCACTGGTGAAAAGATTTTGACTAACATTTTTCCTGGTTTATTCTCCAGAATAGCAAAACTAGGTAAGTTTAAATGTTCAGTACATGCAACTTGCATTAACAATTCCTAGTTATAAACAGGAAATTTGACTTTATGAGACATCTTTAGTACTTGCTATTTACAAAATGTGCCAGTCCAGTCTGCCTCTCCCCCAGTTTACAGTCTAGGGTAACATCTGTAGCTAAACTGGTAGACATGGCTGACTGTTTCTATGTCTGCCTGGAAGTAACCAACTTGCTCATTGAAGAAAGTGAGGAAATGCACATTGCTCCATGAAACACTGTGACTTCTGGTCAGCAAGGACAGGCAGGAAAGAGTAATGCAGGAAGTCAGAGCAGAGCTCTTCTGGGCAAGACAGAAGAGCTTTCCAGCAATCAAAATTCCCCAAACCAAATACATAATCTGAAAAACAGCAGACACTTTAGGCCTTTTCAAATTAAAGGATCTTCCTTTTCTGGTGTTACGAATGTATAAATAATGAATGTATAAGTGACATCCAGAGGTATTGCATGCTTATTAAAAGGTCAATAATTTCTCTAATTTTTTATGTCTTTGAGAAAGAGGATGAGTTCAGTACTTTTCCCCCTAGAGCAGGACAGTTGCATGCCTTTGGCGTGCCTTATTTGCAGACTGTGGTATTTTGTGACTGGAAATAACAAGCAGTATGCATAGTATTTGCAGTTCTGCTTTTGTTTTTATGGAGATCATTTTCAAAGGAAAAGACGGATATTATATAGTCCTAATACTTTTCTAGTGCAGTCCTTAATTAGATGAGATTGTGAGTGGTCATAAGGCCAGTAGTGATTAATAATATTTGAATTTAATAGTCAAGATTTAGAAATATTTTTTCTCCTTTTTTGCATTTAGTTTAGAATACTCTTCTTGACATTGAATGTGAAATACACTTTCTGTAGCTTGAATACATTCCTTTTTCTCCTGTCAGCTTGAACTAGCTCTTTCATTGTTTACATCTTTTTAATATATGTATAACACCCATTTTTGCACAACTGGGTTTTTAAAGAACTGTAGGTCCACTTTGAAAATTTTTGTCAATCTGTCAATTTTAATTAAGATCCAGCTACAAGTATTGGGCTGGCTATTTCTGTTGTGAAAGAGCAGCTGTCAATCTTTGACCTCTCAATTTCTTTTACTCATTAGGACTCAGAAGCCTGAACCTAATATTATTGCCACAGCTTTATGCAATGGTGAGATTCATCAGGATTATTTTCATCAGTAGCATTCTGTAACAACCTGCCAAATTGTTTTGGATTCCTTTCTTTTCTTTTTAAAGCAAAAAACAAATGATGTCACCATGTTATATACTCCAGTTCTACATCTTAATTTACCTTCAAGACCACTACAGATATTTTATCTGCATTTTCAGCACGTATGATTTTTTTCTTATAATATCTGATTTCAGCACTAAGGTGCTGCATGGGGATACACTACATGAAAGGACTGATATAAACTTTTATTCAGGAGAGCACAAAGCACTCTTGGTTTGATTTTCTTACTCTTGACACTAGACTCCTTTTAGTCTTCCCTTGTCTGACTTTTGTAGTATCACAAATTCCATTACTGAATGTTTAGTTCCAAAGCTTTAGCTCTATCATTGTCAACATATATAATCACCAAATGGAAATCATATCATTATGACAAATCATAGAAACTGTATATTTAAATGTAGACTTTTCTTGTAAAGATTGTTTACAAATGACAGGGAGTCTTTCTCAAAGCATATGGCATATTTACCATATTACAATTGTAAAGCTTCATGCACCTATTGCCTTAGTTTCACCAGTAGGAAAATTCTGCTTTTGGTTGCTATTAAGCTCTTTTTCACTACATTCCAGACACTGATTCCATTTATAAGTTTCTTGGGAGTCTTGTTGCTAGTCTGCTTTTTTAAAGACACCGAGCAGAGATACCTTGCTCGGAAGGACTGAAATGTAAGATCACAAATAGACCTGTTCACCATGCTTAAAATTAAATGCATTGATTTAAATAGTACTTTTTACTTACATTTACGTTTTTTTGCAGAATCAGAAGAATATGTTCATATGTTTTATGCTTGCAAATGCTCTGAAATTTTTGATTCTGTAAATCATTATGTATTTTAAGCTTGCATATCTTTCCAGACAGACTTGTGCAACTCAGCTCTTCTTTACCTCCTGCTGCTCCATAAGGATGTATCTTTTATGGAAAGAGATTTGTCATCTAAAAGTTTGGCATCCAGCTTAGGAGCTCTAAATGCCTTCTGGAGGTTCATACCTTGTGAGCTATTTCAAAACTATTGCTCCCCAGACTGAGTTTGGAATCACTGTCATCATTAGAGCAAACATTAGTGATAAGTATACTGTTTTACAAATTGTAAGACTCTTTCCATGTCAGATCATATGTAAACATTCAAGCTGATATGCCACACATTAAGAGCATATCTAAGCATAAAAGAATAAAAGGTGTTCAATGTGTCTAAAATTCAGAATAAAATCTGTAACCCTTATCAATACTAAAAATTAAAATTGTTTGTAAACTCTTTTCCCCTAACAGTTATGAAAAATTCTTACTAAGCTTTATTCACAGAAGGTTTTCTCCATCTGTCAAACTTTGTGTTCATATCCATTCTTTTTTTAAATCAAAGTCCTTAAAGTCTTTTTTTCCTTTTATTAATAATTATTAAGGGGTGAGAAATTAATTATAAAGGGGTTGCAAGCAATGAAATAGAGGGGAAGGTGGGAAGGAGCTAACACTTATATATGTTATTTTCAGAATTCCACCTCTGCATTAGCATATCTAAATGCTCAGGTAGAAATGGACACAAATTTTAGCCAGCACTGCTGGCTACCCAGGTGACCAAGCCTGCCCTAGCCTGGGAAGAGCACTGCCATATCTGAAAAGTTCTGAGGTGGAGCTTACACGCACTCAAAGCCAACCATTTATGTGTGTGGAAATTAATGTCCACAGAACCTTATATGTGCATAATAAAATTAACCTACAGCTGTCAGTTAGGGCTTACAAATGCGGTCCTATATCTGTTGGCACAAATTCAGAGAAAACTAAGCTATAATGTATATTAGCCTTTTTATTCTGAACCTTTTAAGGGGTATCTGTAAGATCTTATCTCTCTCCATGACTGAGAGAATAGAGAAAAAGAGATGCTTAGAAGATGCTTTGCAGTCAGGTGCACGCATAGGGTTAGCTCTGACTTGCCTGAGTACCTCACTGCACATCAACTTTGGTCCAGAAACCACAGGGTTTTATTCACTCCAGAAAAAACAGGTTTCTCTCACTATAGAGGGAGTTAGCACAGCACTGAGCACATGAGTCCTGTCTCTCAAGAGCAGCCCGGTGTGCAAGATGATAACAAAAAATAGGAGAGGAGGATTGTGATAATTTATGCAACTCTGCTCAAGACTTAGGGCTTAGCACAGCATCAAGCCCAATGCAGACACTTGATTCCCTGCCAAGAATTGCTTGCAGCTGGACAGTACAGCACGTGGTTGGAGCAGGTGGCAGTGTGGTCTGGCCCAGGGTATGCAGACATCCTGAAATGGAGGCAGTTACCAGAATTAGCATCACCCTACTGCCATATACTAGACTTTGTTACAGTGATATAGCTGAAGATCTATTAGATAAATAAATTTCAGGCCTTTTTGTGAAGAAGATTCCCCTGCATAGGATTGCAAAGCTTTTCTGCACATTGAAGGATATGCAACACAGTGTCAGTGAAAAGAAAAACATAACAGTCTTGAAACTGTTGAAAACTAGCATGGCAAGTAACAAAATTAGATGGAGAACTGAAGCTTTGTGCTGACTTCCCTTTCATTCAGACTCACTTAAATCCATTAGTATCTTCAAATATTTAGGAGAACCTATACTGTTTTCAATTATACATGAAGCGAGCTACAAGCTTTTAGTTAGATTAAAAGGTTCTACTTTAAGACTATGCCTATTCTGACCTACTGTTCCCTTTCTAACCTGAATTTCAAAGTACCTTGAGTCTAAAGAGGACATGCATATTCTCCTATGTGGATTACAGCAAAGTAGGTCTCTGAACAAAAAAGCATTTTCAGTCCAGATAAATGACCAGCCATTATATAGCAAATGGAGTCAAAATGTTCAGTTCAGAGCTTAGAAAAGGTTTAAGTGAAGCCTCACTCCAGGTATGAAATTCATGGGGAACAATGAAATATAAGAGACTCTGTAATTATATTTCCTGAAAGTGAATTGTAGGGACACACTGTATGTGTTTAATACCAGCTTATCACCTTATATGGAATATTTTTCCAAATGTGAGAAATATGAAGACTGATCATCACAGAAATACAGAAATAAATACACAGAAATAAAGCAGGATTTTTTTAAACAAAGAACTCCAAACTCTAATAGAAATGTGGAGATCTGAAAGAGACTGTGCTAGACTATTCTCTTAAAAGGCTCCTAGACTCCATAGCTTAATATAAATTGCAAGAGATGATGTTTCAAGTGGTTTCAAGCAAAAATTAAGCAAAAAATATATCTCAGGAATAGTTTGGGACTTACAAAACATCACTGTGTTTGTGGTCAGTACCACAAATCTGCACAAAATGAAATGTGGCAGATCAGTTTTCCTGATGAAGTTAGAATGATAATCACATTAACAGGACATGCATGTAGGAGAACAAGAAATCTATCTTGGAATGACTCTTTAATTTAACCTGCTGTTTCAAATAGTATGGAACCCTAGGTAGTATAATAGTAACAATTAGAGCTCCAATTTTTTTTTTTCCTAATACTTAGCACAAATGAATGCACTTTGGGTAAGAGGCCTCTGAAGGGTGCATGCCACCCCCTCTGTTGTTGTAGCACACCCTCAACCTTTTGCTCTGTGCTTATTCCCCCTGCAGC